CCGAGGACAAAAAACCAACCATCAGCAAAACCCCTTGCTATCAAACTCCATTTGCCATACCCCCTTAGGCGGGTCCCCCTAAATCATAATTCAGATTGGCCAAAGTCTCCCAAGAGCTAGGCGAGACGGTTGCAGGAATAAGTTCGATCGGTGTGGGCCGCGACAACGGGTACGCAGAAGGGTTGCTGTTTGATTTACATGGGCCGTGATAATGCGAAGTACCAAGAGCGATGAGGCTTCCTATGCATCTGCATGTGGATCTTGATCTGAGGTTGAATTTTGAGGGCCATTTGCCATGCTGCCGGCTGCAGCATTTTGGGTTTATGAACAGTTCTGGGCCTTCTGGCTGCTATGTCAGTTCAAAGAATTTGGTTTAGGGTTTAGGGTCCAGGTTTCGGGTTTAAGGGAAAAGGTTGGGCAGGCCTACCCAGCAGCAGATTGGTGGCAAAGCATTATTTCCTTCGAGGTGTCTTACTAGAATTGGGCCGTTTGTGGTTGCCCGAAGCTTTTCGTCTCAACGCAAGCCAGTGTCGACGGCCGACATGTAGATCGCATTATTGGCCACCTCGTGGACGAGGACGACGAGTTTCGGATGTGCTTCCCGTGCGACGGGCACCAGACGGCACAAGGCTTCTGGAGAAGTTCTTGCAACCCTAAACCCTACACCAATCCTAAACTGCCCCACAACTGCCGCACTATGGGTTGTGGCCGGGGGTGCTACGTCATTGAAGCCGCTGAAAGTTTAGGGTTTAGGGTTTAGAGCTGGTGCTGGTGCTGGTAATGATGACGGCGAGACTTTGTTGCAGTGGTGGACCGTGTCTCAGTCGCTATGAGTGTTGTTGACGATTGTTAACCGTGATCGTTGGCAGCCGGGTGGCTATTTGTAGTACTTTAGCTTGGAGAGTACTGGACCAGTCCGCTACTTGCACTCACTGTGTCCCACGATCACAGGTACTAGGAGTAGCAGGAGGAGTAGCAGGAGGAAGGTAGGAGCAGAGCAGGGCAGAAGCAGGGTTCAGGGTTTAGGGCAAGCCCTCATCCCCAATCCCTAAACTACAAGCCCAAAAAATCCCTCAGCCCTACTCCCCAATCCCTAAACCCTATAGGCCCTAGTCCCTAAGCCCTTCTCCCCAATCCCTAAACCCTATAGGCCCTAATCCCAAAGCCCCTACTCCCCATTCCCTAAACCCTATAAGCCCTATAGTCCCTAAGCCCTATCCCCTACCCTAAACCCTATAAGCCCGATAAACCCTGAGCCCTTGTCCCTAAACTTTGAACCCGAAGTCCCGGGGTAATGGGTTCGGCTCTTACAAGCTTGTTCTTGCAGCTATAAAGGTTTAGGCTTTATATGGGCAGTTATATAAATTAGAGTCCTTTTTTTAGGTCCCCAAAGTAGTACCGCACCCTCATAAAAAGGACTTTAAATAAGAGGCCCATATTTCTGGCGGAGACCAAGATCCAGGGCTTTGGATATGCCAAGTGCTTTGGTGATTGGTGCTCTTTGGAATGATGTTTTATTTCCATTCTAAGACACGAAGAGGTTTTTAAAAGCGGGTGTTCAGATCGGGTTTAAGGGCGCGCAAGTCTCGTCTTTCATGCCGCAAGTCTCGTAGAAGCCTGGGCAATTGCTGATGGTTCCTTAGTATCCTTATAGCACAATATACCCGAAAACCCTAAACCCTAAACCCTGTTCGAATGGTCCTAAACCCTACACCCTCAACCCAAACCCTAAGCCCTGAACCCTAAACCCTAAAACCCTAAACCCTAAACTCTAAACCCTAAACCCTATTCGAATGGTTAAGGCTACGTAGGTTAGTTGCTGAGGCTGGGCGAGGCGAAGGGGAGCATCATTCTGCAGAAGACCCGGCGAGAGGGCGGGATATGGAGCCTTCGGATTTAGGTTTTAGGGTTTAGGGTTTAGGATTTAGGGTTTAGGGTTTGGGGTTTGGGGTGTAGGGTTTAGGGTTTAGGGTTTACTCGGTTTGGGATTTCGGGCTTTGGGGTTGGAGGGTTTAGGATTTTAGGGCTTCAGGGCCGAGGATTTGTTTGGCATATGGGTAGTTCTCTAAATTAGGGTCTCCTTTGTAGGAACCGAAAAAGAATGTGAAGAGGACCCTGAAAGGGACCCTAATTCAAACTACCCATAACATGGAGCATTCGGATCTGAACTTGCGGGTGTTAGGGTTTGCTTACTAGCTGAATGAATGCACTTGCACTTTTTTGGGGGTTACCATAACTATTCCCTATTGATCTGAAAGTCTTACACTTTTTCGGAGGGGTGGCTTATCTATGAACTCAGCAACTCAGTCAGGGCTTAGGGCCTCGAGTGTTTCAAAGGTTGAGAGTGCCAATATAGGGCTCAGACTACGTAGCAACCGCGTATCGACTGATGGTTTCTTGATGTTTCTTGTGGCTCTCGTGATCGATCCCAACGAGAAACGATGAGCACGACAGCTTGCTACAACCAACATGCAACAACAAATTATCGTGCCAGTTTAGGGTCGACTAATGGATTTCTAGAGCTGGGTTCGATTGCTTCACAGGTTCTGGCTTCGCCGCGCGATGCTCCGACGTGTCTGTTTCGGGTTGGCATCCATCAGAGCCCTACACCCTAAACCCACCGAGATTAAATCCAAAGCCGCCAGACCGGTGATACCAGTGGCCCAAACACCCTACGCCTTAAACCCACACGCCAAAGCCCTAAAGCCCTGAGCCCCAAACCCTGAGCCTTGAATTCCTCGAAGCGCAAAAAGGCCTGAAAGCAGCAAGTTCGGGTTCCACGAACCTTCGACGATGAGGTTCAGAAGTCTAAACCCTAAACCCTAAACCCTGAACTGATGATGCCCACAATCGACGTCCCGTTCCCGACCCGACACCCCGAACCGAAAACACAAAGCTCCTAGAGCTTATACACCCTACACCCATAGGCCCCGTAGTAGTTCCTTTTTGGGTTTACCTTACAGGATTCTAAATATGAGCCCCAAAAAGGAACTACCATGGGGCCTATGGGATAGATCCGAAACCCCAAGCGCCTGGACGTTACAAGCTAAACCCCAGACCCTTCACCCCCAAACCCCGAAAACCCTAAACCCTAAACCCTCAAACCCATGAACCCCTAAACCTCTAACCCTAAACCCTCAAACCCCTAAACCCCCAAGCCTCTAAACCCTAGACCCCTGAACCCTAAACCCTAAACCCTAAACCCTAAACCCTAAACCCTAAACCCTAAACCCTAAACCCTAAACCCAAACCCCCCAAGCCGAAACCGAAGGAAGCTCCGGACTTGAGGCCCGAACTCTCATCAGAGGATGGCCCCAGCGGCTCCCTCATCCAGGCAAAGAGCTTCGGCCTCTTTCAAGGCTTCCTTCAAGGGTTCCTTCACAGTTTTAGGGTTTAGGGTTTTAGGG